GTAAAGAAATTTTTCCTAATATCCAATCTAAACCTCCCCTGGCACAGCTTGAGGCTGTTTCCTCTTGTCCTGTCATTAGTTACTTGGGAGAACAGACCAACACCGGCCTCACTACATCATCCTCTCAGGTGGCTGTAGAGAGCAACAAGGCCTCCCCTCAGCCTCCTCTTCACTAGGCTAAGCGCGTCCAGTTCCCTCAGGCGCTCCCCATAACACCTGTTCTCCAGACCCCTCACCAGCTTCACTGCCCCTTTCTAGACCCGCTCCAGGACCCCAACATCTTTCCTATACTGTGGCACCCAAAACTGCACACAGTACTCAAGGTATGGTCTCACCAGTGAGTCCTGACAGACTCTCCCCCAAGGACACTAAATGGCCTCAGTGTCATGCAATTCTTGCCCACAGAATGCTGCGCCTTAGCTTAAATCAGAAAGAATCAGTGTAAACTGCAGGTTAATACAAATATTTGATGATGGGAGTAATTCACCTTTGGGAAGGGCACACAGCATTTAATCTATTTCTCTTTAAAGAGATCTCATCATCATATAAATTTAATCTTTAAAACATAAAGCTTTCACTTCTTGAGTTTAGTCATCTTTGATGAAGAACTAACTCCAAACTACACTTGAAGTGAAAAAATGCAGGCTGACACAATTGTAATGTAGCTATTAGCTGAGGCACTTTTGAGCAAGGGGGAGCAGGATTCACTTCAAGATCTAAACACCTATTTCTGTATTTCTGCAGTGAGTGTGTTTAAGCTCTGACTGTAGTACAGAGATCCAGTCAGGGTAGTCATTGGTGACTGGACAGTTACTCAGCTGACCAAGTGGGACACGGAGGTGTCTAGGCCCATTTATCCTCTACAGGACTTTGTGTAACCTTCAGCTGGTGCTCCAGAACGGTCTGAGGCTTGAATAGGTGCCATGGCACATTTGCAAGACCCATGTAAACCTTTTTGATATCCTCGGTTTGGGTAAATGAATCAAGCTCCATGTGCTCATGTTACAGTGACCTGAATAGCCCTCTATACTCCACTGACTGCACTGGCCAGATTCCCATTGATTAAATGAAGCTTAGACTCTAATCACACATGCAGACACCTACAGTTACTTGCCTGAATCCAGAGTTCAATCCTACCCAGTGTGATCAAATAAGCTGGTAAGAAGTTAAACAGAACTTGGATGGACCTGGGGTTTTGCTTTTTAAATGAGAAACAGAAAATTTTCCACCTGATTTTTTCCAATCAGTTCTAAATTAGCAGTTAAGAACCTTGAATAAATGAAGCTACTGCACAACCGCTGAGATAGGAGGCAAGAGAAACACCCCGACAATTAGAAAAGGCTGCGGATACTGTCCTGTTTAAATCAGATTATCCTCTGTTTGATACGGACTATAAATAGTACAGAGCACACAAACAACCAGGCATGTTTTGAAAGGTCTTATTCGGATTTGCATATCCTCACGGCACCATTTTTTTTGACAGCTTCACTGTCATAAGAAGGAGTCCTCACCTCAGCAAGTTGCTCTGGACACGTGTATTGTTTCATAAATAAGCCTATTTGCCAACTATGTAGTAACAGGAGTAATGATAAACAGTGACAAGTCAGAAAGGAAGAAATTCTCCGTTACAGTTGGCAGATCACTTACAGACTTTGTACTTTGATCTCAACAGAATATTTTTTTTCTGCTTCAGAACAGTTTCCTTGTAAGATTAGTGTGAAGTTTTGAAAAAATTCTTGTTTTCTTTGGGCCTAATTTTGTGGTGAACCAATACAAAATGTAATTAGTTAAGAACAAGCAGTTGGTGTTTTTCAGAAGGCAGCCAGCCTTGATGGATCAGGACAGTTTTTGCATTTCTTCAAGCAAGGAAATACTTATTATGAACTTGGCCTTCCCTCGGGACTTTCTGTAAGCAGAAAGCCTAGAAGGAACCACAGCCTGGAAAACTGAACAGGCATTAAAAAAAAAAAAAAGGCAGGCTGTATCTCTTCACCACAGGGAAGACTATTACATAAATCAGACCAGAACTGGATAATTCTGAGATGTATTTGGAAAGTAATACTATGTCACATATCTAATGAGACTGAACGAACAAAAATATATACACTGAAATGACTTCACGCAGAGTAACAGATTAGAAATTGGAGGTTAAAAGTAAAAACCAAAAATAACTCCTTGGGCTAATATAGTATATATTTCTAATTTTGCTAATTACTGATCAATCTCAAAGCTTTCTTAGTATTTAGCCTATCTTTAGCAGTTTCAGACATCTTATTAAATATATGTTTCTGGCCTGCACTCACGAGTAATACTTAAGACAGACAAATTTTTAAGAAATCCTTCTACAAAATAATCATGGTCCATATCGCACTGGAAAAAACAGATACAAGCACAGCAATATTCAGCAGTTAATAGTAAGCTGTATTTCCAGAGCATCTACAAAAAGAAACCTACACTGTATTTTAAATGTGTGTCTGAGATAAAAAACCTGTCTTCTCCCCAGCATATATGGTCAGACAAAAAAACCAAAGAATCAGTTTACAAAGGCACTATACCTGCCTTTTGTCACTTCCAGGGAAGGAATGAATTGCTGCATTCTCTAAAAAATGAGTAATTCCTCCATTGCTTTCACATCTGGATCAGACTTCTGCATTTATTTTATATGTACCAATACATGATTGTAGATGTATAGAGATATGCCGCATAATTTACTTAACGTACAGAATGCTTTTTCCAACAGTTTGTGATACTAGAAAATCTACGCCAACAGCAACACAACCAATAGTTAAAAATCAGTATTTAGTCATTTATTCAAAAAGATAATTATGCTTCAATAGGAAGTTCACATCCTAAACCTAAAATAAACATAACATTGATTAACTCAATCAGATACCCAAATGCATACTTCCTGCCTGTAACTTCCTATGAAAATTTTTATCTAAGATTTAGTCTTAAAAATTTGACCAAATTTCAGTTTTGGAAACCGGATAGAAAGGCAAATACAGAATTTAGAGTTAATGACACATATAACTATCTAATGCTGATGTGATATATGGGAAATCAGAATATGGAAGATCCTTCAGGAGTCCAGCACCAAATCAGACAATACTAAAACAACACTCTCAGGTTTTAGACTTGGTATGTAAAAGCACCGTCTGAAGCTCCATTGAAACTGTAGAATGAACTGTTCAGAGGGGCTGTAAATTATATCCATTGGAAAAAGATGAGACAGCTTCCCAGAATAAGATTTGCACTTAGTGACAGGTCAAAACCCTTCCAACTCTCTTACCTTTTGGTGGAAAATAGGACTTGCTTTCTGCTTTGTGTGGCCAGTCTACTACCAAAGGCCCAAATCGTCTGAAGCTAGCGGTAATTTCATCTAAAAACAGGAATAATAGTTGCAATTGAAATAAATTACATGACTCAATGAAAAAGTACAATCAAGCACAGATCTTTGTTTCCAGCAAAGGTTAACGTTTCATGGGAAAAAATGGAACAACATTTCCAGCTTTCATGAACAAAAAACCAGACACATCTTCCAAATCATTAATATTTATGAAATGTATTTCTAGTGCTTTTAAGCTTAAGTTTGTTTTTTATTGCTTAATTACAGTAGCATTTCAGAAGCATATGGGCAACTAAATGCAGTGGGTGAAAACTGGTGTGGTACCTCCTTAAACTCAAAATCTGGTTTGAATGCAATCGAAACAATTTACTGTTTAGTGATGTACAGTTCAGAGCTTTGCAGGTAGATACTCATATAAGTACCACCACAATTGGCACGCTAGCAATTTCCAGCAGACACCATGCACAGATCAGGCACAGAAACTTAAAATTGCCCATTTAGGGGTGCTTCTAACATAACCATAAATACTCCTGTTGCAAAATCTACTATGCTCCCTGCACAACTTCGTGATGTCTTTCTATCCCAGCCACTCCTCCCTGTCATGGACTATAAGAACCTTGGCCAGGAGGAAAGAAAAAAAAATTAAATCGCCCTAAACTCTACAAGAGCAATAACTCAGCAAACACAAATATGCTCCATTCCTTTCAGTCACATCCTACCATTAGCATGTAAAGAGGCATAAAAGAAAAGAAAATATATTTCCATGTGTCTTTGTTTAGCAGTTGTATTAAAGGCAACAGTGCACATTTGAATTAGAAGCTAAAGAGCACCCAAAAAAGCCGAAGTATATTAAAATAAATCCCTCAGTATATTTCAGAAGAGCATCACAATGAAGATGAAACCAAAATACAATCTTTCCATGTCTGAAAGTTAATTAACCACAGTCAGCTTATTTGGTTTGCAAGTCACTCTAGGATAACAGTGAACCTTTAAAGGGACTTCTGTTTACATTACAAAGCTGGCATGTAATTTACATTTATCCGCACAGGAGAAACTTAAACAGCACGATTACTTCAAATCATGTACTGTTGTACAAAGCAATTCCAACTGCATCACATAACAATCTGAACTTCTGTGGTACTTTCTATGTTCACTGCATCACAGAGTGCTTTTGCCACTTGACCTTCCTCTGCCTTAGTTTCTCTGTTTATGAACAGGAATAATATTAACCTTTCTAAACCACTTCTGAGATCGTCAGGTAATAGCAAAATGGAATTTGAAATTCAATTATGAGTAGAAGTTTTCTATGAATAGAGAATAAAGAAGGCACAGGTAGAGGACACTATGAAGGGCTAAGATTTATTTGAAAGGAATATGCAAGGCAAGCAGGAAACTCAAGTTCCAGGCATCACATGCAACTCTACAATCTGCAAGTGCAGCATCAGAGGCAACTGAATCATCTCAAAACCAAAAGAGATGGATGACATCAAATTATATTAAGCTCAACATATCCATCAACTCCCATTAAAAAAACCCAACACATATATAGTTGTAGACTTTTACAACACAACATTATTTTGCTCGGTGGCTTCTTTCTTCTACTTCATTTAGGTTTTTCAAAATCTTTTTCTCTCTCCCTCCAAACTGAGTTTGCTTTGTTTTCAGACAGCTCACCTTCATCAATATCTGGTGGAAGTCCTCCAACAAACACCTTCCGAGAAAAACGCTCAATTCGTTCTCCATTCTGATGAGCTGAGTAGCAGGTAGGTGAATTCAAGACTCCAACTTGATCACTATGACCATCGTCCAGCAAACCATCATCTATTGGGAAGAGGGAAGAACGGCCTTAAAAAGAAAAGATAATTACATACATTAAAATAATTTTGTGGCAGTACATGGTTATATAATTGTAGGGAATGGGGGAATAGCTGTCTGGAAAGCAAAACCGAAAATATCAAGATATTAGAAAAGTACGTATTAGTTTAAAGAAAAATTAAGAAAATGAATAATGTATTAAAATTCAAAAAGGAAATCCACGACTGCAAGCTGACATCACTGTAAGCATAATACTGCATACATTATATTGTAGTTACTCTGCTGCATCCAGTAGAAAACTAGTAATTTGTTTTTAAATAAAGGGTCTTATTTATGAAGAGATCATATTAAGGACTGCTTAAATGAGTTTCATTAGTCTACCTCTGGTTTAACTTCAAGTTAAAATTATAGCTTCCATGACCTAAATGACTACTGCATGTCTAAATCTTACACTTTAATTAAACAGAGTGAAACAGAAAAAACGTGTACACAGTAAGAAGTTTCAAACAGGTATGTCTTTTCTTCTCTTTTAGAGGTATCTGATGCTGATAACATTAACAACAGATTTAGTTTCTAAGAAAGCAGAAGATAATTTTAATAAATGTGCAAAATGTAACACTTGAAAAATGAGTCACAGTACTGATTTATGCTTCTCGCTCTCAAATTTACCACAGTTTTGGAGGGAAGCCTTGTGGTGGTTCCTAACATGTAGCAATCTGCAGTAAGATTATAGTCACCCTGAAAAGCAAGTGTAAAATCTAAGAAGTTCACAGGACGGCTTTGCAAATGCAAACTGATCAAAACAGATGTATAGATGGTAGGGGGGAGTGAAAACATAGTAATTCTGCCCCGCTTATTCCCCCTCTTCTTCACATTTACAAATTTTAGAGGACTCCAAAATGAAAAGACTTGGAAGGGCCAGAATACGCATCTTGGCATATTCAAACTTTCCCTTCTTTACATTAGCAACATAAAGTTTAATGACAGTTCCAAATTCAGAAGTCAAGTCTTTTAGCCACAAAAAGCCCCAAAAGAAACACTTTTGAGAAGCAAAATAAATACCCCACATCACCATTTCTTCTGAAGTGCAATTTTTCCTGTTTCTCTGTCAGTCATTTTAAAAATAATTAATTAATTCAACTGCTCTCCAAAAACAAGCAAGCAAGCAAAACCAAAAAAAATAACCTAAGCACACTTTTGGGAAACAAGTTAATTTTCCATCTCAAAGAGGCAACTTCTTCCAGATTTCCCCACTGCAAATCCATATGCAGGAGAATAGCTCCCTCACAGCTGAGTCTGCAGTAGCTTAGCTGGGAGCCATATTGCAGCCTGTAACTTTTATCCCCTCTCAGGGGAATACTACCAGAAAGCCCTGCAGACACTGTGCTGATCAGCTAGGAGTGAAAGCAGTATGAAAGTCATTCATTTCCAGAAGACAACCTGAGAATCAAGTTCTTAAAGACAAGGCTGGAGAACAGACAGCAAGCATCATGACCAATGACCCATGTTGTGGTAATGCCTCATGACCCTGATTTGGTATCTAAATCCATAATAAAAATATAGTACATCAAAAATATCAAATGAAAACACAAGACGTGAGAAAACAACCAAACATAATAAAATGTAACAATGATCACAAAATAAAAGCAGGACCACAGGACTGTACTAAGTAACAGAGACTGCAACTACATCATCTTTATGGTGGCATTTCACACTTATGTCGTAAGCAGGCATCCGATGGGGCACAGCCAATGCAGAAAGCTGTTGCAGGCTTCTCCTCTCCACTAAGAATGGTGATACACATGTTTGAGAATGTGACTAGTGGGGAGCAAGTGATGGCCTCCTTGCTTGCTATCATAAGGATGCATTCAACAGCTAGGTACACAGCTCAATAGAGCGCCTTTAATAGGGGAAGCATGTAGCTGGCGCTCAATGGGGCAGAAAAGTGAGGAAACAGAAAGTTAACACAGTTGGAAGAAGCAGCCACGTAGATTCTTCTTGTAAATCATACGTTTAGACATAAGAGAGGCAAGACCATGCTATGAAGACTGTAGCAGTAGCGAAATGTGGATATAAGTTTCAGTTATGAAGATTAATAAGAATGATCAGGTCTTATGGATGTATACAAAGCAGTGGTAAGATTTGGTTAAACAACCAAGAAAGGAGGATATAACAACAGATTTCTGAATTACTGATGTTAATGATGGAGAAAATGGAGCTGTTACCATAGTGACAGTGAAAGGAAAGTGGCTAAATGAAGAAGTAACACTCAAATTGGAAGAACTCACACGAAACTGCAAAAGTGGAAATTTAAAGAATCTTCACTAATACGTAAGAGTTATTCTTCACATCTTAAATCTGAAATGACTGTAATTTAGCTGGCATATCTTTATAAAAAGCACACAGATTTGCTCTTTACTTCTGCAAGTCTCTATACTGCAGGAAAAAAGAAACTTAAGTAACTTGCTAATTTTAATAAACTTGTTGGTATTAGAATATTGCCACATTTAAGTGTGGGGGATTATTTTTTTTTCCATTTTTTTGTCCTTTTTTTTTAAAAAAGGCCCCAAGACACAATTTCTACTTAAGGAAGATGTCTCCTCAGACCATGAAAACTGTTTTTATGTTTCTCTAAAAGTACTTGTTAGACAATTACAATATATAGAAATATATAAGGGGAAAAATAATCAAAGAATAATCCTCAGAGCAATTTATTTTTTACCCACCAATGTTAAAATCTAAGAACAGCAAGAATCTAAGGCTCTCTTGCCAGTAACAAATTCAACCATCCGAACACGTTCTGAAGTGATACTGGAGAGATAAAGGTAAAGGTGGCTAATGGTTTGCCAAAAGCACTGTAGCTCCTCAGACAACTAAGATGCCATAGAGGACAATGGATTAACACAGAGTAACATGCTCTATGTGAGTCCTAATATTTCCCCCTCCTCTTCACTTCTAAATGTCTCTCAGATGAAAAGAGCACAAAGGTAATTTGCTAGGCTTTCACATTTCCCCCGATGACTGAAAAGGCAAGTCCTTTTAAGCACTTGTTTATTTTTGTTTTATGACAGTGAAAAGAATTAAGCAGAATGTGACAGGAATTGTCAAAACACGATTGTACTGTTACATACATTGACTGTAATCTCTACATTAGGGCTACCAAGCACTCACTCACAAACCAACACAGAGAGACACACATGAACTTATGTCTACGTTGTGAATACTGGAAGCTATCTTGATGTTTTTCTGCACAATTTACACGGTCTTTCTAACAACCGCAGGTCACATCCTCATATAGGTGAAACAGCATAGCTTTTCCAAGGTCAGTGAGCACATATTGGCTTATACTACAAAAATCTGTTTACTAAGGGTTGTCTACTAGATTTCTTGCTAAGTTTATGAAAGGCTTTTAGATTTTACTCTGTACACTACCACTTCTACAGAAGCAAAAGAAGATGAGTTAGAAGAACAACTAGCAAACTGTATACTTTTAAAGGGGCAATGACTGCAAGCAGTAGCCATTATCATGAACTATGTTACGGTTAGAACTAGTGCTTTAACTGATTAAAGGATTTGTAGTTCAAACTCTAAAGAGAGATCAATGATCATAACAATCCAGACAGCACCCCTTCTTCCCTCACACCCTCCATCTTCCCCAAACTAAGACAACATGCAGATAAGCATTTATAATCAACAATCTGAATTAATTAATCGTAATGATCAGTAACAGCTCAATCAGAATTAATTGCACTGTAACAAACAGAAGTGAATTACCTCGTCTTCGCCCATAACTCCTCGCTGCATGCAAACAAAGGACAAATTGTAAAATGTCAAATAACTGTATCATGCCCACACACGAAAATATTTAAGATACAAAGAACTATGTGGGTAAGCGATAAGTAAAAATCTGCATCGGTACTTGCTACTGATAATTGTAGACAAGAATGCGTTACGCTGAAGTCTCACTTAAATACCATACTACTTTACTACTAAATTGACGTTAGCACCAGCTGTAAAGAACAAACTTTAAAATATTTCAACGTGTCTTTATACTTGATCTTAACTTCATCTTAATTATGGATGCATAAATTATAGTTTGCAGTTCATCCTCATAAATGTGATTCATATCTTACACAAGTGTCTAAATAACATAGGTTCTGAAATTGTAAAATAGGAAAATATTACTTTAAAAAGCATGTAGTATGCGATAAATTAATCACAGAAACATCCTGATCCATGGAACAGTTTGTACAGTCCTTTGCAGTGACAATACAAATGCTATAAACCATGACCTTCCTTTTTCATGAAAAGACCTAGCAGAAAATTAACCGCAAGGTTTTGTTTGAAACAAAAGACTCCTTGTGGTAGCAAACAAAATCAGGGCACAAGTCACAAGAAATAGCATTGTATCAAAAACACTGCACAAAGGCAAAGCAGTAAGTTCTGACAGACTGCAAGTAAATCCAAGATTTTCATAACTTTTGAGTTTTGCAAGATTCTTGAAGAGATCATACTTATAGCTACAGTTCAGAAGACCATGCTGATTACTACTCTGCCTGAAGGTTAGGAAACTAAAAATAGAGAGATTACTAATATAAAAACTATTAAGCTATGCGTAATTTCTTAGTTACGTTTCCACAAAGTATTTTCTATTCCTGTTTCACAGACTTTGTATGTGAGAAAGATTAATCATTACAGCATTGTAATTAAAATATCCAAACAGAAAATATTACTGTAAACCATAATGTTATAGCGACATTTATGAACAAAGATTGCCCTGTCTCTTTTGATTTAACTAGGACTCCACCCATACACCTCTCCTAAAATGCAACTATGGTTCTGGGACACTGAAATTCGTGCAGCCTCATATGCTCAGTGCCTCGTAAATGTCATTCACTGTTCTGTTCTTATATTATTAAAAACTTATATCCCAGTACCTCTCATTTGCATCGGGTTTTAAAAAAAAAAAGCAAGTATTACACTTTTTTTCCTTTGTTATCCTGATCCCTTCCTACTAGGAATTCAGTGGATTGCTTATTGAATTCAGAAAACCTCTCTCCTTGTTTTTTCTCCCTTTTTTTTTTTTTTAACACCACAGTCATCATATACCTATCCAGCTTGCACTGAACTCACTTTCAATTTTATTTTCTTTCATCTGAAAGAATTACTATTGATGACAACAGTCTTCCGCTTGAAGTTTTTCAGATGCTCCAACTTTCTACTAGTAAGCCAAAGCAGAAAAGCCCACTTTCCAAGAGAGACCTGGGTATCTAAGCAAGTGGAAACACCTAAATTCATATTTCCCATATCAAAATAGAATCCACAAAACATAACGTATTCTCCTATGTGAGATTAGTTCTCTCATTAGCTGCTGCTGCACAGGCCGGCTAACGCCGAATTTCAGGCTTGTCTTCCTCTGAAGTCAGGCACCTAAAAGACATGCAGTTCTATCAGTTTTGCAGCGTGTACGACTCTTTCCTGACTCTGGGCCAAAGTGACTCCTACATAGCATTAACAGTAGCGTCACTAAGCCCTCACCTAACCCCCATATGCCTTTTTTTCTTCCACAAATAAAACCTAGAGTAACCAGGGAAAATTCAAGCGTATCACAGCAATGACGGCCGTGCCATGTTCCCTCTCAAAGAATAATACATGAATGCATATTAATAAGCATCTTTTGGCACAAGTCTCAGTAATTTTCCTTCTCTTCTGCCATTTCTGCGCCTTTCTGCTCACCAAACCAGCTCAGCTATTTTCTCATATTCCCATAGTTAAGCTGATATGCATAAAAATATTTTGCTACAGAACATCTGAACAGTTTTCCTCTGTAAACAACAGTAATTTTAAGGAGAAACATGAAAGGGTTATTAAAATGCTAAAAAATACTCCCAATGCAATTCAACGTAAACCGGTAGTTGCTGAAGTATTTTATATATATGGAAATTACTGTAATGTACCAAAGTTGTCTTCTTCAGTGAAACAATGAAATCAGAGAAAAATAGGAAAATAATTTACTTCATGTTGTCATGTTATTTACTGTACTTGTATGGCAACCCCCCTTCCCTGATATTTATCTGTCTTGTCCCTTTAGATTGCAAACTGGTTTGTGCAGGGATTTTCTGCCACTTTGTGTCTAGAAAAATGTGATCCCATTCTTAGACAACGTGTGGGCACTACTGCAGTAAATGTGAACATTAACATAAAAACGTATGGTTTTGCAAGACTTGTTATTTTTCCCTATTTTTATCCAGACTTTAATACCACAGTGGTTATATTATAGGTAAGTTGTTTTAGTAGTAGTAAGTACAAAGTCTTACAGTTACTAAAAATATGCTAAAGCAAACATATCCTGTCTTCATAAAACTTCAGTATTTTAATCTCTCCACGTTACGTATATACATATATGCACACATACACACTTTCTTTCAAAGGCCAGATACTACTTGTGAAAACAGTTCCACTGAATCAAACTTTTAGTACATTGTAAGCAATGAGATTATTCTTTCTGAAGATATTAGACTGAATCAGAAATATTTCTATATTTATTAAATTAACACACACATAATATTTTACACCTTTTAGAGCACATATGATTACAGACCATGTGCTCTGTATAAATATACACATATATATTTAATTATAGATTCAGCTATACATATAGTTTTTAACACATGTATGTATTTAATACATGTATGTATTTAATATATACACCTACATAATTAGTGCATATCTTTAGATAAGTAATTGCAGGGGAGGCGGCCCTTTGGGAAAGGCCAGACACACGATCACAGATCATTGACTTACACCAACAAAACCAGGAGAGATTAAAACAACTTCTTTCCCTTCTAAACTTGTTTAAAAAGTAATTCATACAGAAATATTTTTTCTCTCTTTTAGTCTATAAAGGTAGATATCTTAATTAGCCAAAAACTCTGAAAGATTTCAAATGAGTGAGGAAGTACAAGAGATGCACTTTTATTCCAGAAAACATAAAATTGGGCAACGCATGCAAGTATAACGATACCAAATAAAAATGACGTCAAATAACGTTGGAACCTTCCAACATTAAGAGTGCTGTATATACAACAAAGATATTCTCTTTAGTTAAAACCTTCTGTTTCTATACCTCTAAGTTGCATACTAGTAAGGTTTAAACCTGTCAAAAAAATTAATACTCCCCTTTCTGCAACTTAAATCAACTCAGAGATAGAAATATGAGACAGAAGTAAATACACTTTTTCGTGCGTGTTTATCTAACATCAAGGCAACATAACTTCGTACATTATGTGAGCAATGCTATCACACAGATAGTAAATGTATCACTTCTATTTTATTCAGACATATATTTCCAATATATACCTGGGATCAAACATGCATATATTTAAATAACTCAACTGAACAACTGAGCTGAATTCAAAATATTATGTTGTGTAACAGGAAAAACTACTAGGCAAGCTTCCTGTATTTAAAGATAACTATGAAATTTATGATAGAAAGTTAACATAAAATACTATTTTTCACTAACATCCTTGATTTAATGATCAAATGGTGACAGTGAAGTAAGGAAGTCTTTCAGCAATACTTACTTGTCATTTAAGAAATCCATAAACAACTATGGCAAAAACTTCCCAAGACTGCAGACTAAAGGAGGTAGGTACCTAATTCCCACTTTATTCTATTGGATTTGGATGCCTAAATTCTATTAAGATTTCTTTAGAAATCACATCTTTACAGATTTTAAGGCTGAAAGAGGTCATTATGACCATTCCCGTTTGGCATGCCTAACAGACTACAGAAACTCATTTAGCAATTCCTGTCTAGGAACCTTAGTAACTTCTATTTGAAGTAAACCACCTTTTTTTAGAAGCACAACAAGCTATAGTATCTTTAAGATGGAAAATCCACTACTCCCTTGCTAAACTAATCAAATGGTGACTTATGTTTCAATAGTCATTAAAAAAATTCAATGTGTTAAAACTTATAAAGGGGGGGTAATAGGAAAAAACACCCTACACCCCAACAAATTTGATTCTTGCACTAGTACTTGCTACGGAAAGGTTCTCTAAGTCGACAATTAAAGATGTACTCAGGTAAACCCATTCCAAAGTAGCTCTTTTTGACTTTTGAGAGATAATAGTCATTAAAAATGCATTGCTTTTTTACAGCTTGAGCTGAAACAGATATATATTATCAGCTATGTAATTTATTGAAACAGATAAATCAGCTTTCCTTTGGTTCATTTCATTAATTTAAATAATGAAAACTGTAAATATTAATATTAAGTACAGTTCAGTAAGTACACTTTAAGTGAACTAGAAAAGATCTATCATTTAAGAAGAGGAAAACAGCTAAAAATAAGTTTTATCTAGAAGTGCTTAGTCTTAAAAGGGTTGAGGAATTCTAGCTTGGCTCATGTCGGAACCTTACTGGGAGCTAAAGACACCAGTCCACCAAAATCAAGCAAAGTAAAATCCAGTGACGGTCATGATCTAGTGTTAAGCATTAGCACACACGCAGACAGGCCCAGAATCCCTAAAAATGTTGGTGTTTTCTTTCATGAAGGTCTGGTGTTCCTACTCCTTCTTGTAGGAACTACAACACTTACTAATAAAGTAAGGGACAAATGCGAGTCTGTAGATTACCAACTCTCCTCTTCCCTATTCCTCCCTCCAAGGCACCAGTTACAGGAATACAGTGAAATGTTTGCTTGAATCCACCTGAGCAGAGAAGGAAACTGAAGCCTACAAATTCATCAGCAAGTGTTCAAGCTGTAACTCTCATTAATGCACATTTGGAGGAACTCTCTCAATTCCTGCTAAAAAAGAAAGGTTGCGCAGAGCCTGAGCAGCTGGAGCTTTCCAAAAGCTGTTCCCCAGTGCTTCTGTTCTGGAGCTGTAAGGAGCTGCAGCTCAGACACTCCAACTCAAGGTGGCTCTGAGCAGTGCATGTGATTGCACTGGACTGCACTGATGGGTACATCAGACTCTCCAGCTACGTGGTGAAGAGCTTAGGTGTCTAAACCTAGGCTCTGAATTAAATTCCAAAGGGCACACCTAAAAATTAGGTGTTGCAGCATCTGTCCTCTAGACACTCAAATTGTTATTTTTAGCTCACCTATTGAAGGATGGAAACAACAGTGCAGCTTTTAAAGAGGATGGCAGTCACATTCAGTGCTAATTTCTAAACTACAACAAAAACCCCACCAGCATTAACAAAGAAGATATTATTCAGTACATACCCTAGCTCTGTGGTAAGCTTTTCAGGATAGACTGGTACCATTGATGCATTTTTCCAATGCCCATGGTAATAGCAAAAACCTTTTTTCCCAGATATTCCCTAAAGTAAAAATCCTTTTGCGTGCTCTTTTAGCATGCAGACTATAAAAAGAGAAGGTCACCATTCTAAGTATTAAAAAAATTAGTTAAAATTATATTAATTTCTTACACTGATTGCATTGAAACATATTACAGTTGCTCATAATATTGCTTACTTTTTAATACCTTCCCACCTAACACTTCCTTATAAATCAGCAGATAATGAGAATTGCACATACACCACCTGAACAAACCAGCTTGCAGGACAGGATATGTACAGGAATCAGGATTATGGTCTGTGTGGGCTAAACACCAATTTTATTTCAATAGCTAAGTAGCTATTTTCGCTTTTCAAGATACTCCATTATCTAAAAGAACTATTCAATACCAAAGGATCTAATTCTTCAAATGTCCATTGTGCAATATTTTCCTTTACTGGGTATAAAGCTAAACCTGAATTTCCTTACATTTTTAAACATTTACTCAGTGTTACACAAGGGAAATTGGGCATTTTTTACATTTTATATCCATTTGCACAAGTGTAAATCACTGTGCAGAAAGGCAAGACAATTAAGAGCTCCACAGAACCACAAACCTGAAATAACTATTCTGACTGTATTTTTTAATAATTAGGTCTTTACCGGTAATGTTTAGACCAAACACGTCAATGATGAAAGTGTACTTCCCTTGTGTACAACAGCTTCCACATTTTCTAATCTAGAGAAGCCGTGGCATTATAGCTCTAATTTTTCCCAATGTAGAAAACAGTTGTGTGCAAAACCCCTGATTTATTATTGACTTAGATGGATTACCAAGCTCTGCTTCCTTCTTTAGCCTTGAACAAAGGCTAAAGTTCATGCCTTCACTGAGTAGCAGATGTTCATGAAGTTTGACCTACTGGGAGAGGAACGTGAACATGAACGCTAACTTCAGCGAATTTCACAGTTAGAAACACATTTGATAAAGCCAGTTCCAAAGACTCCAACAAAAATAAAACGTTATTTCACATAAGTGTAATAGAAAGTATCTAGTTCATCCATTATTTACACAAGACAGAAAATCATGCCTTTCTGGCCTTCTTATTTTTCTAATTCCTATTTCTGTATAATAGATTTCTAGCAGATCTTTGGAGAACATACCACCAGTTTGCTTAAGAACAAAAAAGAACAGTGCTTCATTACAAGCATTTCAGATTTCAAATAAGCCAGATATAATGAAAGGCTGTTGCAAGATTAGCCCTTGCCATTCAACTCTGAAAAATGGCAACAGTCCCACCAGTGTTGAAGACTAGAGGCAAGTAATTCAATAACAGAATGTAACAGTATAATTTTATACCAACATGTCAGATTTAAGCTAAGCTAGAGATAATTAGAAACTGTTATAAGATTAGCACTTACCATTTAACATCAGAAGATTGTCAGTCCCTGGATGCGGATAACTCAAGCGACCTTAAAAGAAAACAAAAACCAAAGAACAAAACAAAACAAATGCAAAGGTTTTAGTTATTATACTAGAAAAAAAATAATGAAAAATCACTGCTTAGAATTTAAATATAAACTATATTTCCAGTTTGCCTAAGGGAAATAAAGAGCTAATATTTAACTCCAAGCACATTAACCAACAATACCCTTGACCCAAGTTAAAGCTGACAAGAACAGACTTCTTAACCTTAATTCTCTGGTCATAAGATCTGCAATGTGCTTTGGGATCAGCTCCAATAGGATAAAGCCACTTTTTGTTTCATGACACCCAGAAATAGTGCTGACTGCTTTAGTCTTCTCTGTGAATAACTGTACTATGCACATTGCTTAACAGAGCGACATTTCCAGTTTAGTGCTTCTCTACTGAATCAATTTAAGAAAAATCCTGTCAATAGAAATTAAGCCATGAAAATTTTATTAACCAATTTATGACTGTATCTTGGTGTATGACATATACCCATTGTATGTAATATCTTTCAGTAAGCCTGGCAAAACTACAGTTTATCTACAGGTAAACTGGTTTATCTACATAATTAACAAAATTAAAGAGTATGACAGATAACATTTTCAACTTTTCATATTGAATAAAAGTTACATGAAAACCTCATATCCTTATATTAGAATTTTTCAAGTATTGCATTTTACTACATTTATGGAATGTTATACTTTCATAGTTAAATGAATGGTTTAAAATGCACAGCTGAAGTGTCTGTTCACTACAAATTCCTTTTTATTAAAAGAGACGTTTTCTGCTTACAGGAAGCTGCAAACATACCAGTAGTGCACACTGACCTAGAGAGACCTTTACAATAGCTGCTGTGTTTGGAAGAAGTGTGCTTTAATATGCAAAAATCTACATTTCCATCTATCGTCCTATTCAAACATATTTCCTCGCTTATAATCCGTAAGCATATATAAAAAAATACTGTAACTTAAACATTTAAATCTTTTGGAGGAAACGATAATGTTTGTGGAGGCATAAAAAAGAATCCAGTCTGAAAGCAAGGGGTGTTTAGAACTCACACAGGTTTAAAGGGGAATATCTATCGAGATGGCTTGCAAGATGTATTAGTAAGACACTGCCAAGCCCTAATAAGGCTCACACCTTTTAAAAAGAAACACAAAGGAAAAAAAGGAAAAAAAAAAAAAAAGAAAAACAAATCAGCAATCCATGTATTAAGGTCATCTAACAATTCCTATCATACACTGGGTTTTTTTTCCACTACTGTTGGTAAACCCATGTGACTAGCAGCAAGACTGGAAATTTCTCAAAATAGTAGTTCTGTGTCCCAAGGGACACCTCTGGGGTTAAAAAAAGTATCTTTTCACTGAAAATCTGTAAGTAATAAGGATTAAGTTTTGCTCTTCCCCTTTAGGAAACCAACATGATAATTTTCTACCAAAAATACAGAACAAATATACTTTACGAACTCTTAACACCACTCAAAACTTCAAAATAGCAAGATTAAGATATTTTAGGATATTTTATTCAGCCTTATTATTTACAGGTATTGTGGCAAGAAGTTTTATATATCTATGTACTATTTCTCTTCCCACAGATTTGATTATTATAAGAACGGATGGTATCTGGACACCTGCAGATTAGGCAGGAACTACTTGCTTTGGAATTTCTAAGTACGGAGAAAGTAGCGAAGGGCAAAGGCAGCCTCCTGGAAAAGGGCAGATGAATGACACCCAAAAGGACTCTGCTTTCTTTGCTAACTTCTACAGAATTTTTGATCAGGCTACTAATCAAAAATCTTCGTAGGAGTCTCTGTCTTCATGTTCTTTATACTCAAGATGTCCAGTTTTAACACACAAGCCATTTTTTCTGTCATGTTGAACATTTACAGCTATAGCTAATGTTTCTTGGAATTATAAACATTCTGCCCCTCTAGCAATGCATGCTGGTATAACAGGAAAAGAATTAGGAACAAGGTATCCTTAAACTGCGATCTGGGAGCTGGCACTGGTTTGCTCAGCCTACTGTATAACAAGTCACTTTGCTTTACTTAGTTCTTTACTCTGTAAAGGTAATACCCATTTGCCTAACAGCAAGGATTTTACAAGATTACTTACTGTCACAATCATGTTTATATAGGGTGCTACAGAAACACCTGCAACAATGAGCTGGTTCTTGCAAATCAGAGTGCTGTATCTATCTAGAATAACAATGGAAACTGTGAGAAATTATCATCTCATCTTGAACCTCCTCGAGTCTGTGGTGACAGTCTTTCTCCCTGCCTGTATACATTTATCTTTTCCTATGCAGCAAGGGAGACAAGACACGTTTTTTTCCTATAATTACTATAGAAAAAGAGGTCAGATTGAAGGCCTAGCAGGAGAGAGGAGCCCACCAGTGTCAACATCTGGAGAAAAAACTGGTTTAGAAGATAGTAAATTTGGGGTTATATCTCTGGTTTTGCCTTTTTCCCCCTATAGCTTCACAAAAAAAGCTGCATCTAAAACATAGGTGCCAAGCTGCAAAAGTTGAAATAATAAAGCACTCCTCCTTCAGTGCCAGGGAGAAAGCACACCGGGGAGCTGGGCCCACTGCTGCTGCGTGATCATGCGAACACAAAGAAATCCAACCTTGCTGTGTCACGGAGATGAACTCGCTAGCTCAGATAATGAATGATTTGAGGGTGAGAAAATGAGCAACACAGTATTCACTACATGTAGAGCTGTACTGACACTTCTTTTCGGTCTTATTTACCTGGTTATTTCAATGAAAACATACTTTGTATTATTGCATTGTGGTGAACTTAATACTCGCGTTACTACCTTGTCTAGTACCTGGACTTACAACCTTAAAATTTTTTTCAAAGTACAATCATTGCTATTTGATATGTGAACTTAGGTTTTTATCCCTCAGATTAATCTACTGAAGCAAAATGCAGTGTTTCTAAGGCGTCCACCTGAATTTAATGATATACATAAATTCAGAACATTTCATACATGGAACTGGGTGCAAGATCAGTCTTACAGAGCTCAGATTACACTATTTTAAAAAAGATTATTCTAGTTAAATGGACACATACAATATCAAATGTCACTTAAAATACCAGTATATAAAATACAGAAGATAGGAACACCATCTTGTAACAATTTACTTTGCTTCTGTCACATATTTCTTTCTAGTCAGCTATTTTCACTGCATGATGTTCGATGTACTTAAAAAAACCAAAACATTTTAAGAACTGCCCTCACCACAAATCCTATCTAATCCTGTCTTACTTCAATATCAGTAATCTAGAATCATATAAACTGTTCAATAGATGTTCTAGCAATTCCAGTGGCCTCCACCTGCTTAAAAAATAAATTTTAATAATATATAAAGAAGTTTTACTAGTTTAAAATCAACTACGAGTCAGAGAATTCTGTTCTTGAGAAATGAGAAGTAATCACTTTACTGACTGTCTACAAAACTTAGCTCTACAGCATCCAAAAATTAGTAACGTGCTGCTATCTGGAACAAATACAATGCCTAATATTACAGTACCGTATCATGAAGTACCATGTTACAGAAATTTTCTCTGTGCAAACCTGAACTTGCAACTTCATCACGTTACTGATAATTAATATCATGTATCATGGCTAAATTCAAAATAGTATTGCTAAGGAGAAGCAGGTATGTTTGACATTTCTTATGCAACCAGAGTTCTATTAAATCTAGCTCCCCCTTCCGCATCTAAATGTGATTAATGTTAACTGAACTGCCTGGTATGTATTTTTCGCAATGTATTCTTCTGTAAGGACAGGAAAAAAAAAAACCAACAGCTTGCCAATAAATTTTAGTGGTCCAGTTTATCCACCAAATCCAGTTAAAAGTCTTGCTAATCCAAACCATGAAGGAAAGAGTAACAAACTTAGTTTTAGCTACATTTCTGTAATCTCATGTTACTAATATGGGCAATTTTTTTTTTCCCCTCCAAGCATACAGATGTAGTTGTGCTTACTCACTTTTCATTTCAAGGCAAATTCATATCTACTTTTGGAAATGCATGCTTTCTATTCCGATTTAACTGAACTGTTGGAGGAATCCCCCCAATATATTAAAACGTTTGGGATAGATTTAAGTATAACGACCACTTTAAACATTGCTGACTCACAGTTTCACAAGTTTGATATTTCATGTCTACTCCCCTGCCTCCCATTTTTCTTTAAAAAGTCTTAAGTGGTTGAATGAAGAGACTGAGAATCACAAATTCCTCTCCAATCTTCCTTTTTCAAGAAATCTGACTAGAAGAGAAAAAGCTTCCAAGTTAAGCTTTCCCCGAACTACTTTAACAGGCCAGTGAACAGCTGAGGATTGCAGCAGTTTCAGAAAGCTCAATTTTTGAATCAGCGTTGTTAAGACAACAGCACAAAACCATGTTTGGACAACACCTGGTTACAGAAAGCCTGGATACTACACTTTCAAATGCTTGTGTAAGAATTACGTAAGTCATAATAAGGCCAAATGTGTTGTCTCTATTTAGACAAATCAGTCTATCAGTCTTCAATATATTCTTTTATCACAAAAAGTTTCTATGAGAGAAAGGGGAAACAATCTGTATGTACAATTTCAAAGCCTTTTATAGGACTAAGAGCAACTTTTTTCTTTCCCTGCTTTTTTTGTTCAGCCTCAGAAACTCTTTTCTGAACACAATTTGAGTAACTCTAGTAAGCAACTGTGTAACTTCAAACCTTAGAGCTTCGTAACACAAAATATAAAACAAATTTATTTGGGAACAAAAGTTACCATATACAAAGAAAGAAAATGTTCTCTACTGTGTTGCTGAGTCACCAACGCTTTTCTTTTTCCTTCACTGAGCATGCGCCAGCAGGTCGCCTTTAAAAAGAAAGACGTCTAACAGCTGACAAGCTCAGCTAAACCAATTTAGAGGGAAAATAAAACCAAGAAAAAGCAAGACAGACTTCTAAGTGCATGAAGTTATTTTTCCCCACAGATAAGCCAAATAACAGTGGTTTACTTTTATTATTTATTACTAGCTACACAAAAAACATATTGGTGTCACTTTCCTAAAAAATTTGCCCTCACAAAGAAAAAGAAGAAAAATTCAACATTAAGTTAATATTCTTTCTTGTTACTCCCACTAATATAGCTACGGCTAATTCAAGTACCTTATGTCTAGCTTGCAAAGCTGTAGGAGTTGGTCAGGAAACGAACTGCAAGTTGAACTCTTGCGTTACAAAAGACAAGCCCTTAAATTACATGGAAAATACCACAGTCTTTACTAGAAAGATGGTTAAAACAGTAGATAATAAAATTCCATTAAAGCACTTGCTCCTCAATTCTAATACATATTCCACACAAAATATAACCATTTCTTCTAAGTTTTTTCCATAATCTGTTTTTGCCAAAATGTATTTTCTTTCCTATTTCTGAAATGTCTAGAACCCAAGTTTTCTACACCTTGACATCAAGAAGCATTGGTATTTGAGGGAGGAGAATGGAAAAGCAATGCAAGTACACAAGAGGTGTATGTCTGGAAAATAGTTATACTACCAATACCCATGTATTTCAGGCTATCAATATTGTAATTCTTCTCTCCAAATAGATTAAAGTCTATTAGAAGAATAAAAATGGTATTTAAGAACAATGATGTAAAAATGAATTAATTTAACTTTTATTAATCTTAACTTCAGTTTATATGCCATTGATTGGATGGGGTCATCTTAAACATTACTTTGCGTCTTATGAAATCCATTTCAAGAAAGCTGCATGGGAAAGATTAGTTTTAATATGATCAATTTCTGCTGCAATGACTAGTGAAGTTAAGCATCTATTCCCTATTAACCTACCTTAAAAAAAAGGTCTTATTGAAAGCTAAAAATTGCTTCTTTCTTTTGATCATGTCTGTAGTAATGAGTAAACTTTGTCTAAGTGAAGCCAAAACTATGCATCTAGAAACAATTTTTGGCAGGCATAAACTTAGCTTTCAGTTAATCGTATTTGAAATAATTTTTTTTCAAGTTCATTAAAGCAAAAGTGGTGAAATTTGACTTTCTTCTAAAATGGATCTTGAAATACAAACTTAAAGCTGTGAGCTAGTACACACAGTGTCTGTTCTGCATTGTGCAAAATCTGAGACAAGTTGCTTAGTCATACTCCAGATATTGTAAGCAGCTAAATCTGAAACACGTGCTTAAAATTCCAGGGACTTTCATTTTACTGCTGTGCTCAGATATAAAAGATTAATTGTTTCAGCGTGCTTAGATTTACTTGAAAACTTGTCATAAAAATATTCACTAGTTAGAAAATATTCTTTAGTTAAAACAAAGTACGTTATACATTAATAAGAACAACAAATAAATAACAATAATATTCTAAATCCTGTGCATTCTGCAAGCAAATATGATGGGTTCTTAAGTAAATGTCAGATTTTCTGTGGTGAAAAGAAAAGCCACAGAGACTGAAGTAACAAAATTAGTGTTTCATGGTTTGCTGGAAAAAAAATAACTGAAGTTGCTAGGAAATTACAGAAATGCCAACTAATGGTGACTACACAGAAGAGTGGCAGAGAGAAACTAAAAGGCTATTCTAGGATGCAATTTCTTCTTCCCATTTTCAGTCAGTAAGGAGTATTTCTTGTGTCTTACTGTTAATAACGTAGCTGCCTCAGCTGAAATAATAACTTCCAAAGAGAAAAAATATCTTAACCAGTTTAAATAACGGCAGACAATTGCTCTATTTAAATTCAGTTGGTGTATGCATTGTTCTCTGGCACTCGAACAAAAAAAAAAAAAAAAAGGATTTCCTTTGAATTCATCACTATCTATGGCTTCCATCTGTTTTAGTTCAAACATAAAACTTAGCAGAATTCTCACTGCAAGAGAAACTGTTAAAATCTCTTAAGTGTACACTGAAACTATATACTTATGTCCCTAGAAAGCACAGAATAACTATGGAAAATTTACTGAGTTTTTCGAATGTGTCTATGTATGAACCCAATTCACTTTAAAATCTTAAAGCTTTGTCTTGTCTTATTCTCTCTGAAAAAATATTATTGAAAACACACCATTTTCATCTATTGTTTCACAATGAAATATGAAGAGATGAATAAAAATAATAATGGCCCTTTTCTGTGCTTGCTGAGCCTCTAAAAACTCTTCTGCATTCTAAAGCCAAAATAAGATGAGTAAGATGGCAGGGGGAACAGAGCAACCACTTCCATTTGTCATGCCAGCGTGCATAGAAAAAAAGAGAAGAAACTGCTTGGTTTTCAGGAATGCGAGATGTGCCAGTGACAGTATATTGCAATAGAAGATCTGCATTCTTTAATTTTACACCTTACAGTAGTTATACCTTTCAATATCCTTCCTGATGGTAGATTTGGGTTCAGATAACCAGAGAAATTTTAGCCACCACCTTAGTGTGGCAAACTGGAGCAACAACGCTTTGAAACAGTGGTGATCTAACTAGTTACCTTGTCTTTGATGACATATGTGTGCTTTTAGTCCACAGCAGTTACCACTGGGGTAACTTCACAGGTTTCAACCCCTTTGTGTTCCTTAGTAATGTTTTGTAAACACGCAGAATAGACAGAAACCGAATTCAATAATGGACTTAAATGATAAAATTGTTAAAACTGGAATGAATTCTCTGTAGCCAGTAAGAAACTAGAGATGAGATTTAAGAACATCTAAGAAAATTTAATTTTAGCTTCTACTCTAAAGAGGAGGAAAAATAACTGGCTAACTGAATGCTACCTACTTACTGATGCTTTGTAGAGATTTTCAGCTTGAAAAAAACCCCAAACTTTTGACTTTACATTGTAAGTCTCACAATACTATTACATGCTATCTGAATATTACAGGTCTTCCAATTGATTACATATCTTAAGAGAACCATGAGCAAACTCTAGCAAAGTGTCTTTCAGATTAGGAGAACATAGGCCCTTACATATTAATGTAATATATATTAAGTCTGGGTGCCTCTGGAAATGGAGAATGGATGGGAGTAAGTAACAATCGCAAAAGAAAGAATTTTTTTTTTCCCCTCAATTGCTTCAATACTGAAACTTAATTTCTGCAAAACAAGCCTGAAGTCTGGGATAATCTCAAAGTTAGATTGTGTTAGTCTAATTATAGCACCACAAATGAAGTAAAAGTTGAGCAAATGGCTTGGGCTCCCTGCCCCAAACTTCAATGGTAAATGCCACCTGAGAATAAGTACACAAAAACAGAAGTCAAAAGAGTGAGTTAATGTACATTGAATAGAGGAGTTAAAATTGGAGCCCACAAATACTAGTTGCATGCTCACTGCTGCAGCCAAATAATTTGAACCGAGCCCAGAAGGGTAAGAGGAATCAGCATTCTAAAGGCAAGTATATTCCTGGACTTCTTCAGACAAACAGAAACTGGACAATTACATGCATTATTATTCTCCAGGAGCTTTGAAATAAATATCGGAAAGGACTACAACTAAATTTATCACTGAACTTGATTTTCTTTTCAGCTTCCACTGCAAAGAAAGGGAAAATTAACCGGCTAACACTGGTAGCGGTTTGATTCCCCTCCCACCCGCTTTTGGCTACCACTAATGGAACAGTGGACCTTCACAAACTGAGGCAGAACTTCCTACAGCAGCCAAGTAAATTTCAAGTAAAACTAACTATGAATTTCTTGGGGGGAAAGGAGGGAAGGATGGGGGGGAGAGGAAGAAAAACCTATGAAAACCCTAAAGCTTAAGTTTTATACAACTGTAAACCAATGTTTTCAATGAAATACAGCTTGAGATTCACCCTTCATGTGAGTTGAGAAAATAGTTCATTTGCTATTTTAATTACCAATAAGTATTAATTCAAATATGCAGAATGGATGACCCTTTTTTGTTTATTTAGCGTAACAACATACCTTTAAGTGGATCATGCTCTGCTCTCATAATGTCAATAAGGGAGTTTTCCAAAGAGTGCATATTCAGACTGTCATACATTCTATTTCGGTCCTAAAAGAGAACAAAATCCTTAGTATTGGAATACAAATTCTGTACTTTTTAACAGGAAACTTGAGAGGAAGACAAAGGTGCCTTTCTAAAGGCTGTATGCTGAGACACTCTGGAGACGGACAACGATACAAAAGCTTAAGATACCTGAATTTATTAACAGTAAGACCTCATTTTATTAACAGCAAGTTTAATAGCATCCAAATATAAAACTCGAGATGCACTGTGAAGAACTCTGTGTATTGCACTTTGATAGCCTGTGATCGCCTGTTCCCTTCAAAAGAACTGCTTGAATCCGTTCTAGTGATCCACAGCAGAGTTAAGCATTAGGCTGTTTAATGAAGGAGACTAATGTCTGTAAGAGCTCAATTTCATTTCATGCAGAAGTTAAATAGTGAGTACAGTAGGGAACTACAGGACAGGGACAGTCACCTCATATGAAAGTGTCTTCTTGGTGCTTGGCTAAGTACCTTGCACAGGCCCTCAGCCCCCTGCTCAGACTGCACTTCCTGGCTCCTGGGCAATTAATCTAAGACCCTTCGCATACAAAGACTTGAGTTACAAATGGTCAGCACCACACAGTTAAAGGTTGGAAAATTAAAGCTAAACCATGAAAAGAAAGTGTCACAAAGCTTACCAATAGATTATCAGCCTTATAGAGAACAATTTTTTGGTATATGAAGATGAAGAGTTACCTTGCCTTATCAATATTTTCACTGACGATAATAAAAGTTACTGTAATAAATCATAAATGTGTTCCCTGATTTTACACTCAATTATGACATTTTCTCCCATGTTTTCTAATACACCCAAGTACCAGAAACAGAAAAAAAGATGACTTCTAACTTCTTTGGTCTTTCTGGGATACGTTCAGAAACCAAAAATAGTTTGTGTAAAACCTCAATCTCTTCTACTTGCAAGGCTTCTGGCTGGGCTATATTGCATTTAAAGGAATTCTGTAATCATGCCTTAATTTTACTGTTATCTTCTCCTTGGTTGCACAGTAGTAATTCAACAGAGTAGGATGAAATACACCACACATCCCATGACCATTAAAACTCACTAAAGATGCAGCCATCCACTTAATACACATATAATGGGGACAGAAGGTATCTGACCCACGCTCACTGTGACTTTTTTTGATGGTTCATGACATAGATTAATTTCAAACTATGCCCCTCAGCAAGCAGGTATTCTTCACGTTTGGGGAGTGAAAAAGCAAGCTTTGAAATAGAGGTTTTCTATGAGTCAAGAGACTGACTTACCAACACCTTTGCAAAACAAGCCGTGATGAAACTAAGATTTTACTTTCATCTTTCTTAGAAAGTTCAGTCATCTTGATCCAACATTGAGATGAAGAGAGAGAAGTCTTTTTTTCATCTCTCTTTGTCAAACAACTATAGAGAGTAATAGCTTCCCATTGGGGAAGCAAGTTGCTGTGTTCATTTGACCTGATCCTTTATTTTCTTTTTGGAAGCCCTTAGATAATTGTACTGATAAATTTAAAAAGTAGGTTTCTCTTGTCTCCTGCCATGCCCCAAGACCAAATGCCATTGACACTTTGTGAGGTGATCTTCAACCCAGTTTAAGTGCCAACAAGTCACCAGTACTATTTTAGTTCGCAGCAGCCTTGTTTTGGCACTGGATGGCTTTCATTCAGTTCTCTAGCTTTCCTGAGAAGGAGTAAGCAGAAGAAAGAAGCAGCAGAATGAAACTGAAGTGACTAATCTGCTTCCATGCCCTTGCAGGTTTGTTTCTCAATAGCACGACAAAACCAACCTGCTTACCTTAGCATAGCACACTGCCTTTATATAGAAGATGCGAGCAGTGACAAAGCTGGATCTGTTCCCTGCTGTCCCCCAGCATTCAGAAGGTATCTCATCAGGATTTTTAATGAAGTCTTAAATTCAGCTGAAGTCAATATTTGATAGCTAGTAAGTGCTCTTGCAAAAACCAATGCTGAATAAACAGAAAAGATGCTTTGCTACCTCCGTAGCTGATAGGGGACATGAACTAGTATTGGTAACAAGTGGACTGAACTGTATGTGTGACACTTTATCTTTGGTACAGGCTCACTAAGTAAGATTTTATTTATTTATTGATCATTGCTATATACATGTATGTTAAGATAACACATATCTATCTGGCAAATGGTTATTATTGTACACTTAACTTTGCTCTGAAGAGCCAAATCCTGTAAGGAAGGGCTTCATCATGGTGAACTCCTAAAACTGGCCCACTTAGTCATGGATCTTACAGGGAAATGGAAAATTAAAACAACATATGTCTGTGGTTCATTTGTAAACTGGCTGACACGGTGCAGTGATTGTAACGTCAACCTCGCATCCTTCTGTTTTGCAAGTTCTGTGTATCCAAAGTGAAAGGTCTTGCCCTGCTGGAAGCAGAAGAAATAAACTTTTCCCATCCTCTTCACACCTTAGAAAGTTCATGTCTATAAAGCTAAAAAAGGCAGTTTGTTTCCTTGAATTGATTTAATTCATTTCTGGCAGTGGAAACATGCAATAGGCAGGCACTGTACAATATAAAAACGTTGTGAATACACTGAAGTAAAGCAGGATTTAAATATGGGAATTGTATTCTGCTACCTCACTACCCATGTCACACTACCCACTTGTGAGTTTGGGTAATATCTAGGTAATCAGTGCTTCAAAGTTTTAACATCTGTTCCAACTCACACTGACGAATTACATACTATAAAGCAACATTATCTGAAATTTAATTATCTCCAAAGGAGTAAAGTAATTCTTTGGGTACAAAAATTTTAAACCTTTGTATAACTACGCTTTATAACGCTAAAACACTGCTTTGTGCTCCCCAAATATGTACATCTCATCTTTAAAAAGCACAGTTACCATCTACGCAAAAATGAAGCTTTCATTTCAAAGAAGAATTTTGAAGTATTTCAATAATGTACGTCACATTTTCTAGAAAGCTCTGGTGTAGAAAAAAAAAATCCACAATGGTTTGAAAGGGGACAGTTCTACTACAGCCTGCTCTACTTGATCAGAAAAATTCCACCATGATTTTCTGTGATCTTTGGGATAAGCACAAAAAGTACTACCATAGAACATGACTGGTTTACAGATTTCTATGCACATGGAAATAGTCCTAATTGTTGTGACTATCTTCAGTTTCACTATTTCAACACGGCCGGTAAGCCATTATCTTCTAAAACAACCTGGAACTACCCTTAAAACAACATGGAAATAGTTCTAATTCTTGGGACTATTTCCATGTTGTTCTAGAAGTAGTTCCAGGTTGTTTTAGAAGATAACTGCTTATCAACCGTGTTGAAATAATGAAACTAAAGAGAATCAGTAGTACAAAGGCATTGATACATAAGCGTATATGTTAATACAGGTATTGTACCATCCTGACTCCAAAAGCTCCTTTTGTCAAGGCAGAATTCCTGTAAAATATTTTGCATTTCCCTCGCTGCTGTGTGTCACAGTCCTGTGCTAAGAAGCAAGTGAACTCTTGCTGTGTCAGAAGGTCCATCTTTCAGTGGAATGTCACAACCTAACGCCAGTTTGTTCCCCAGAGCCGACAGTTAACTTCTCTCAAGCACTACAAATTTTCACACTAGCTTTTTGTTTCTTTTAACTGTATAAACATTTGAATACTGCTTGACCTACCTTTCCAATACCAGAATGCCAACTGCATTCATACATAGCAGAACTGAAAACATGGTTTTGGTATAACTGCCTACAGATTCAGAGGTATATGGCTAAGTGACAAAGTGTCACATCAGCTTAAAAGTTAAGACTACGTAAGAAAGTTTACAGAAAAGTGATAATTATTTCTGAATTTTACATATTTATACACTATAGGAAAAGCATGAAGTATCTTACCCATAGAACAATACAGTGAGTGCTAGAAGGACTTTTTGACAATGTCATGCAAAATACATCTAGAGAGTGAGCATTTCCAAAGTCCTTCCCCCATGCATCTAAATGTGGAATGAATGGGAGGAGGGCAGTTTTCTCCGAAGAGAAGTTTCAACACTAAATTTCTGGAGAAATCATTCTTCTTGGCACAATCTATTTAGGACTTCTAAATATATCTATGCAATTTATGAAAAGGTTATCCTGTTGGAGCATTTGCAAAAACTCAGTGCAGTCAGATCTCAAAGCTTATATATTGTCATTTATGCATAAGCAAATACAAGGCCAGAAGCTATTAAAAAAGTGAATACAATTTTGGTAATCTTTAACTACACACACTAAAGATAGATGTTCGTAGTTAAGAATTTAAACAACTTTGAATTTTGGACACATGCTTTAAACTACTGATCTGTAGGACTACTTGAAGTAAAAAATTAGACTTCTAACATAGGTATTAAATTCAGTAAATGCAAGTATCTTTAAAATATGCTCCTTTACATGTCGCTTTGTATTCCAAAGAAATGTAGCACCATCTGATGGGCGCTGGAAACAAAAGTCATAAAGCTTCTAGTCAGTATGGTCTTAGCTGGCTGCAAAAAAGACTGTAGCTTTGACCTTGCTGAATTACGTTATTTTTCAAAAGCTCAATTAAAGAAGCTTTAAAAAAATAAATTTCTCAAACTAAAATGTTAACAAGTTCCATTTTTTTCACCTTAAAACTGACCTGAATAAAAATGTGTTCTAAGACTAGAACGTGACAGCTGACAATAATGAAGTATTCACAAACTTAAAAAAGTACCTGAATATAGCATTCAGTGTTAATGTTAGCAGTAATAACCTAACAATTAAGTACATTATATATTCTAAAAATCAACTTTGCTACCATCTAAACTTCAAGTCATTCTCATTTTAGTAAAGACATACTATAATCATAAGCCCCTTGTTGAAACCATAACTAGTGTAAATGAGAAACTTAATATGAAAACCTATGACAACCACAATTTTAGCTCTGTAAAAAAACAAGGAGGAAGGCTTAAAGTAGACACATGAAATTGCTTGGTTACTTTCATGGTGTCATTAGTGGTAAAGATGAACTAT